AGAGAATATATAAGATTATCTAGTTAAACTTTATATAAAAATCAAATTAAAACAATTGAATCTAATAATAAATATTAAATATTATTATAATTATTTTATTAGTTATTAACTATTTTTAATAATTAAATTAAAATAAAATTTTAATAAATTTAATAATTAGCATTATATAGTATCTAAATCGCCATTAAGGAAGTAATCTCGCTTTTTTGTTGACTCAATTTCTATCCAGTAGTATATACTATATATGCTATGTTTAGTCATGGCGCAAATACTTAATTAAGTTTGGAGTAGTGGGACGACCTACACGAAAAACGCCAGAGTGCCAGACCTTACTTACCCCGTTTCCCGAAATTAAATAAGTTTGCCGTGAAGTTTACGGATGTGACAATGGCGAAGGGTGTGGCGGTCGCACTAAGGATACCAAATGGATGCACAAACTCCAGAAAAAATCTGAAACATATTTTCAAAGTCTCAACAAAGGTTCATATTTAATATTCCAAGCGAAGAGTTACCCTTATCTAATTCACAAAATTAAAACTAATGGTGGAGGTTGTCGTAAAAACCGCAAGAACATATAGATGGCAAAAGCGCTTTGACTAAAAACAAGTTACAAAAGATAAAAACAAAATGTACACTTTTTACTTCCAGTACCCATTTTTATTGAATAAAAATAAAAATAATAAAAATAATAAAAGATGTCCAGAAAATTAGCATGTGGGTCCCATATCTAACAGCGACTGTTTCATCCACCAACATCTATATTCTATTGTAAATACTTCTTTAAGTCATTATCGAGTCGCTATTAGATATATGACTCACATACGTAAAAAAATGTTTCATACACCAACATCTATGTTCTATTGTAACGGTATAACTAGCAAAATCTTATGTGGGTAATATATTCTTATCCATTCAGCTAGTTACCATTACAAGAATTAATATAATTCAATATAATTTTGAGCAAAATCAGAGTGTAATACTAACTTGCGAAAAAGGACAGTCGATATAATTTTGCGTGTGGCGGGCTGTGGATCAAAATTTTAAAGAGGACCAAAACTTGTTTTTTTATTATATATAAATATAATATAAATTATAACATATATAAAATAAAAGATGATTTAACATAAAATATGATATTATAGAATTAAATTATTTCATTTACTCAATTATAAGAGTTATAGATAAAATTTTAACTAATAACAAAATAATATAAATTTATAGTGTCATGAAAAAAAATTATAAGTTTTATTTTATAATTTAATAACAATGAAATAAAATTATCTATTAACATAAAAAATGATACTAAAATTATCTATTAACATAAAAAATAATACTATGTAATTAAATTATTTCATTTATAAAGTGAGCATTCTAGCCAACTTATAAAAAATATATATATATAATTGATATTTTCCAAAAGTAAGAAATTAAATTATCATTTTTTTATCCTCATAAATTTAAAGTCTGGTGGTTATTAAATTTGGTCTGCCACGGCATCTCATTGGATCACTTTTCAACAATTGTTTTTTATTAAACTGAGTAATCTTTTAACATGAGCCCGCCCGCCTGGAGGCTAGAAGGTTGTGTGGTTGCTTTGTCACGCCCCAAACTAAGGAAGAAACACTGCATCCTCTAAGGATGTATTTAATATTTAAAATTTAAATATTTAATAATTCATAATAATTTAAAGTTAGAATATCAAAAAGTAAAATTAAAAATTTTAGACTTATAAAGAAAAAATAAAAATAAAAATTATAGGAACCAATCGGTTTGGAGACTACTTGGTCCATATGGCATTACGCATATCAAATAGATTTGCAAGATTCTAAATTGATTCTCAAACATATTTTCAAATAGTCTCGACAAAGCTTTCATATTTAATATTCCAAGCGTATAGTTAGCCATATCTCATTATTAACAAAATTCAAAGTAATGGTGGAGGATGTCGAAAAAAAGAAGAATAAAAAATGCAAGCGATGGAAAATGTTCGCAAATGATGAGAATTGGAAAGTAGAAAAGCAGAGAACACCATATATCCACATATATAAATTTATATATATATATATATATATATAATTATCGCCTTCTCACATCTTCAACCCTAACTCTAAGTAGGGCAAAGTACAAAGGTAGGTAACTATTTGGAACGATTGAAACAAAATCAAACCCAATATCTCCACACTCAATGATGCATAAACAAACCCAATTTACCACTTTTTTCAAAATACATACTATATATCAATGGCTCAATGCCATTGGCACTCATCTTCTAATTAATCATATATACTAAATAATTAACAACAAACACTTAATCTGATCAGAGATCTTCTTCCTGATGATCTCCCTCCTTCACTTTTCATCCTCTCCTGTAACAGATTATTAATTACTCATTGGCAAACAAAAAAAATGAAAGTACACACGTACGAATCCAAACTCTTTGGAATCATAAAATAAAGGTACTCATCATTGCGGTAGCCAAATTTAACACTAAAAGAAAAGTTGAATAAAGAAAAATGAAACACATAAACACTTACTTTAATTTATCTCCTCTTCATCTGATTCTTCCGGCAGCTTATTCAGGTCAATTTTCAAAATGGCAGAGTTAGCTTCGCCTTGCGGCCTGGACGAGGATGGCGCTGAAGTCGAAGCAGCAGCGGCGGTTGCATGAGTATCCCCTTCTTGGTCCAAATTTATTTCATCACCTCCTTGGTAGATGTCAGCCTCTTCCGCCTGAGGACCCTCAACCGGTGCGAGAACTCTATTGACGACACCAATCGTATAGGTGGAGCTTGCTTCATCTTCCAACGATATGGCAACCTCGTCATGTTCAACCAAACCAAGATCGTGAACGACGTCTCTCCAGCCAGTTTCCAGGAGAACGAGGCGCTCATGATTTCTCCCGAGTGAGAAGGTGACATGGAACCTGTGGTTCCTGTCACTCTTCAAAATCGCAGCAGCCCGTCGATTTTCAAATAACGTCTGAGGTAAAAGATGACGATGTGTCTGAATTACAGCTGTTGGAAATATTAGTTTTTGGAGATATGACCGGCGAATAATGATAGAGGCAACCACCTGCTTCTGATTATGCCCTTCCGCCATTTTCAGAGTCAAGCTCTACTAATTAGGAAACGATTGCTGTGCCGCTGTGTATTGAGGAGCAACCTAGCTACCAAATTTATAGACAGACGTGGGGTAAAAATCAAAATTATAAAAATGCGCCGTCCACATTCCACACCCTAACCCAATTAACAAACAAAAATCTTTAAAGATCCTATCTTTTGCTAAAAGTGTAATGATGGATTATGAAAATGTCCTCTCTTTTTTTTCAGAGGTTAATTAGTTAATGCCTTAATTATACGAATGAGGACATATCCTTTCACTAATAATTTTGCTACTTATTCTACCGGTCTTCTTCTGAATTAAGAAAAAGACAAGCAACTCAAATGCTTTACGATATTACTCTGTGTAACTAATATTTCTGTCCCAGGATAATACTCATTTATATTAATTGTGGTTTTTTTATATTTAAAAATAAAAAATATTTTTATTATATCATTATTTATTTACTTTAGTTATGTAACTTAAGATTTGTTTAACTTATATCTTTAAAAATATAATAAATATATCTTTTTATAATTATTTTATATTAAAAAATATAAAAATCAACTTTTATTTTAACATTATTGATACACATATATAATTTTAACTGGTTTATTAATTAAATCGAAATTAATATTTACATTTTTCAGTTGTTTTTATTTGTACTTTTAGGGTTCATGTAACATATGAATACCTTCATA